TCTGGTGTGAGGTTCTTTGCATCGTTCAGCAGAATTCCATCGTGACCTCTGATTGGCAGGGATCTAACTATATGATGTAATAATTCAACTATTTTTCTTTCAGTTTCTCTTTCCAAGGAGTGAAGCTGATTTACCAAAAGGAAGTGGTCTAAACCTAACTCCAAAAATGGGGCTTATTTTCGAAATTAGCATCGACGGAGTCCAAACGCCGAATCATGGTAGAATCGCTCCAATCCTCATTCCCTTTTCTCAGGATCCTGTCTATGTCAAGGAAGACTTCCTGGAGACTATGAGCTTAACGGATGACTATAAAGAAAAGGTAAGTATGCCTGTATTGCTCATTGCTCTGAATGATCAATTCATAGGAGTTCCACCAACCTTCTATGATGCTTGCTTTCTACTCACATAGAACTTTACTTCACAGTTGGTAAGGAACAATGATTGGGTAAAATAATAACTTATTCTCTCTACAGTATCAATATCACTGTGATTGTAGGCGTTAAACAGTATAGAGACGAAGCTAGTCTAGAAGTACTTTTCAAGATTACGTAAATTCTAACTATTCAAACGTTTACTAACTTTATTGTCTTCTGCAGCTGGTGAATTTCGTAGCACAGGAAAGGTACAAAACAGAATCAAGAAATCCCCCCCCCCTCTTTTCAATAGTAAGGGAACAAAAGTTTTATTCTTTTATGGAACTAAAAGATAATTCACCATCTTCCATCCATTCGAAATAATCATTAATTAATGTTTGTATTGAAAACGAATAGGACAAATTGGCAAAACTCTCATAATATTGCATTTTCCCATAGGCAAGGAAGTTAGAGAATGATAAGTTCTTTCCTACTAACTAAAGATTTCTCCAAAGGTTGATTTGTGATTCGTGATTTTATGACTGAATAGTCGTTGTCACGTGGACAAAAGATGGGTACAATTGAAAGTGAAACTGCGTTGGGGTGTGGATTTCTCAACAGTGAGACTTCAGGCTGCTAATCACCTGCTTTAAATATGTGCTGAAAACCATTTCCCCTCAATTGGCTTTGAAACCTTTCAGTGTTTATTCCTGATTCAATCAGTCGTAAAGATGTCTTTAATCATTAAAATTCAACTTCCAATTCTACGGTGTTTATCAATAATGTCACACTAGAGCCTCTTATTAGAGTCCTATAGTGTGAAAGATATTATTGCGAAAATTCATACTACAGAACTTGCTACTTAGGGGTTTTCATGAAAATTTTGTGAAATATATACTTTTCTAATGATATTTCACTACACTTACACTCGAACGCCGGTTATCCTAGCTTTATAGTGAGACAGTAACTTGCTACACCCATTAATATTTTATGGAATGGAATATACTACTTAGTTTGTGCAGTTCTGGCGACTCAGTTTTTAAATCAGTAGTATAGAACAAAAGTAAGCGAACTTTCTCCTAGCCATTACCTGTTCAGATTTTAATTTATAAAGTTCAAACTGCTGTAGCACATGCATAAGCTAAATCTACTTCATTCTCCCACTGTACTCGAAGAAAGTTAGCAGAAATAGGGGTTGCAGACTGATCGGAAGGTGGCTCTTCAGATTTTTACTTCATTTATACCCCTTCTACTACGGTGTTAGTAAGTCATACTTGAACCGTTTTGTTCTTTGGCACATTTGGCTTTGAAGATGCAGCTTACTGATATTTCGTTTCCAGTTAGTCGAATCAGCGTCACTAGATTGCGCAGCATAACAGAGCTTATTCCTGTATTTTCCTCCTTCTAAATAGTTATACAATCTCCACTTGGCACGTCGTAAAACTGTCGCCAAGGTCAAGGACACGGTCAGCGTCAAAGTTTTAGGTCATACCCCAGCTTACATGCAGTGGGAGACGGTCTGTGAGGTGAAACCCAACGGCCACGACAAAAGGGGCGTCTATACGGCACCGCGATTTCTAATTCCAAGGAGAACTCCCACGAAGTATAGGCTTTCTCTGCCTGTGGCCTACTACGGAGATGCATTCATTCAGAATAAAACTGATAATCCTGAAAACGCAACGGTGGGTGCTCGTCTTCAAGCCCTCGTTTTTGGTTCCCCACATGATGGCTTTTATTCCGCTACTAACTTTGTTCAATGGTGAGTTAACGAAGTTTTCAGAGAGCAAAAGACATCTGGCCATTCGCTTGGATTGTTGCTAAAAATTCACTATTTTCTGAATGATTATGAATGGTGAAAATGAGTATTTAACCAGCTGGATTGTTTAGTGCTTCCTTCAAATCAATTTCTTGGAAGTAATTTTGCAAAATGCCAAGCGTCACTCGTATTCGCGTTTCCTCTTTAAGCTGGGTGGCAACCAGTCGCTGCTTTACATCATACTGCAGCTTTGTTTTGTGCTTGATCGAATCAATGGGAATTAGCCTGCAAATGTCTAGCTCATTTTATTCTACTATTGACCTTCCCCAAATTAGGCTTCTAATAGATCGCTAGGGGCCGAAGGAGTTGAAAATAGAACTGAGGATTGAGAGCTATAGGGAATAAAACATATAAGTTAATAAGGAGGAGGAGAGATCTCCATCAGATGAACTGAAGTTCGTGAGTCGAAGCGTAATCCAAACGAAACTTTACAATTTGATCTACTTGACTCGAGGATTGTTCTTTGGACTGTAAACAAGTCGTCCATCTCATCTCATCTTGGCAAAAGTTTTCCCTTCAGAAAAGAAATGGATTGTTTGCACCTCAACAGGATGTTGCATTTCGATCAGATCGCTTTTTCTTTAAGAAGTTGTGTTTACGTTAGTTAATGCCGTATGATAGAGACTGACACATTTAAGTAACCCTGATGATGAGGACAAATACCTAATCCAACACACCTTCTGCAACAGATTTGCGAGAAACTTATCTTGGTTATTTCGTGAAGAAAGCTTTAAAGTAGATCGAGGATCCTATCTGTAATCTACGCTTAGCATTACTCTACCACCGCCATAAAAGACCATTGCTTGCCGACTTTCTAGTAGAACTGGGTGTCAATATGACCGACTATGGAGGCTCAAATATATGTCTGCTTTCTGATCTCTGCAAGACACCTTGGGGATACCATTTTATCCCAAATTTAGGTTCTTCATAAACGCTGACTGTTGCTACTTTTGCATGCTGTGGAAGCGATGACGTAGTCGTTTGACATTCACTTTCTACTTTGTTAACTTAGGCGCGGTGTCTTAAGCATGGGAGAGCCCGTAGAGATCCCTGATCGTGGAGCTCAGGTCCGTCTAGCTTTGGGAATTGTCATTCCACTTATGATCCTCACTACACTGACCTCGGTCGCGGTGGCATTTGTTATTAAACGTCGGAGGATTAATCAAGTCGATGGCTCGACAGACCCACTACTGGCGACCAACGACAATCCCACCGCGGTCAGATACGCTATTGAACTACCATGTTTCAGAGGCCGGCAATGCCTTGGAGGTCGCCTCTGTCTCAATCGAAGGCAAAGCTTAACACCACCGGCCTCCCCCGAACTTCCACGCAACGAAGTCAATGAAAATGAAAATCTCGATGTCTAAATTGATTTGATTCCCTAACTGTAAAGTGATATTTCCATACTTGGCGCTATTTTATTCCTCAATGTAATGCAGCTTCCATTGATAACAGTTCTATTTTCTCACACATTTGTAAGACTTTGATCTATTTAATAATATGCGATCATTTAAGTTGTACTTTAAAACGTGGTAGCCAGAGTCTTGCGGAAGTGTTTACAAGCCTAACAGTCTTAAAGAAAGTTGTATTAATATGGTTTAATGGCTGCTTTAACCCAAAAATGTTTGGCAAAAGATGTTATCAATAAGATCGCCATTTAAACGAGTATTTTTTCCGTGCGAAATTTTTGAAAATTTCTTCCAAAATTGCCAAGAGGAAACAAGTTCTTCATATCTTTCGAAAATCCAAGATCTGTCATAATTAGTACGACTGTTTAGTCCTCATTATCCAGTTGTGGAATAAGTGCTCTTTCAAGGCACATGGGATATGGAATTCAGAATCATTATACGAGGGGGTTCAGCAGTGACCTAGATATGAGGAAATTGCTTCAAACGTCAGATCACATGACCTAAGATTTTTCCCTTCTTATTATAATGACTTACATTTTTGAACTGGGGTGTGCGATAGACATACCTCCACGTGGTGCAGCCTGGGCAAAGTCTGTTAACCAGCCGTTGACCTCTGACTTCGAACCACAATGACCCCACTGAATGTCATATTCTACCCCTTTCACAGTACTCATCTTGTCTTTTCTCTGCCTTTGTGTCTGTCTGTCTCTTTCACGTCTGTGAATCGCTCTGAATCATAATTCTGTTCCTCCTCCTCTATGTGAAGCCTGAAGTCAGCTAAGGGGCTAATGATAACTGTCAAAATGCCTGCCATATGAAATAAATAAATATTTTGGAACTGGGCCGAAGATGTTCGCCTCCAAACAAGATAACCATCCATTCCGATTCATTAGTTCCCACATAAAGTGCTTATACCTCTGTTGTGATCCTAGTTTAACAATATTCTTATATCCCTACTGGAACCTCTTTGAATGCTTATTGCATTCCAGCAGCATATTCCAATGAATAGACATGATGAGTCGCCTACACTTCCGGTCAGTTCTGATTCCCTGACACGTTGTCCGAAACCAAACCCAGATATTTTACACCTTGTTGTTAACAAAGAAGGAATGCGCAAAAATCGTATTGCCTTCCAATACCTATTTGGAGAAGGCGGAGAGGCGTCATGGTTGAAAGATACATTTCCTTTCACGACCTTGTTGGTTTGCTGTTACCTCAACTGTTCTTCACTCTGATCCGTTTTATGCACCATCATTGGGACCTTTTGAGCTTTGTCTAGAGACAATTGTGCTGGCACAATGTATGTTTCTTTCATTCTGTCCATTATCACGAATCACATCGCGGCATTGGTAAACTTGAGCCAACTCTGCCTTGATATCTATGGAGTTAACTGTTGTTGGGCTCCAAACCAGATCCATTATTTATAAAATTATTTTCCATGTCATTTGTGACCTTTCCACTGCTTAATCTCGTCATAGTATAGTCAAGGCCTCATTAATTTTCTCGTGCCTGTGTTTACGAATACTTGTTTTGAATAATATGGGGAAGGAGAGAGAGAGAGTGAGAGTGAGAGAGAGAGGGTGTGTGTACTTTATCACGAGGTGACATTTATTAAGGTCAAGTCACAAAAATATTCAAGGTACCTTTCGGAAGGAGTGCAAAGATACCGACGCGAACTGAAGACAGAGGACAAAGTGTATTTTACGTTTTATGATACATTGGCGCTTGAAAGTTTAATTTGATAAAGACTTGCTTATCGGTAAAATAATTGTGTTGGAAACAAAAGCACAAGGTATTGTTCTTAAAATTTAACTTGATTAGATCAGTTTAAAAATGACTGTTAAGAAGTTTATATCAAATGGCAGGCGTTTTGAAAGTTATCATTAGCCCTGGAGCTGACTTCGGGACTTCACAGAGAGGAGATGGAACATCAAAGTGACAAAAAGTCGAGATGAGAGGGAAGGTGCATCAAAGTAGCAGAAAGTCGAGGGGTAGAAGAGGGAAGGTCCATCAAAGTAGAAGAAAGTCAAGGGGTGGGAAAGGAAAATGAACATCAAAGTGGCAAAAAATCGAGAGGGGTAAACAGAAGAGTGATTCACAGATGTAAAAGAGACAGACAGACTGACACAAAGTCAGAATAATTCACAGATGTAAAAGAGACAGACAGACAGACACAAAGGCATTAAAAAGGTTAAAAGAGACAGACAGACAGACACAAAGGCATAAAAAAGGCAAGATGAGTACTGTTAAAAGAGACAGACAGACAGAAACAAAGGCATAAAAAAGGCAAGATGAGTACTGTGGAAGGGGTCGAATATGACAAATAGTCGGGCCATAGAAGTTTTAAGTCAGAAGTCAACTGCCGATAAATAGACTTTTTGGAAGTGAGAAGTCAACTGCCAGTTAATAGACCTTTTTGCGTTGAAGTCAGAAGTCAACTGCCGGTTAATAGAATTTTTTTGCCGATAGTGAGAAGTCAACTGCCGGTTTATAGACTTTTTTGCCGCTTTGAAGTCAGAAGTCAACTGCCGAATAATAGACTTTTTTATTGAGTCAGAAGTCAACTGCCAGTTAATAGACTTTTTTTGCCGTATGGCCGTATGATTATACGTTGCCCAGGGTGCACCACGTGGAGGTAAGTCTATTGCGCACCCCCTGTTAAGAGGTATTATGAATAATAACTGCTTCTAAAGGTACGAAGTTAGTTTGACTTTTAAAAAAGATGGAAGTGTGAAAGATGATGCCCTTTTATTGCATTTGGGATTTTGAAAGTCTTTTAGTTAATTATAACCGCAGATGTTCTGATGTAAGGTGTCTGAGATAAGCGATAAGAAGAAAAAAATGATGTTTCTTTTATGACAGCTTCTCAGGTTCATAAAATGGAAAGTAAATCAGTCAAATTCATAAAACTTTACAAAGTTCAAATATGAAACTTTATGCTTACTTGCGAACCCACGTGCTTCTCTAACTTACGAGATACTTGTCATTGAAATTAAAAATCGAACGTCCATGACAATGCTCATTGGCAGTTAATCTAAAGGCGAAATAAAGTAGATACGATGGAAATAAAGAGACCTGTGGCCACTGTCGTTCTCAACAATATCGGTCAAATGATATGGCAACAAATGACAATAAAATCCTTTTTCGTCAACAAAATATTATATTGAAAATGCGCAAAAATGTAAGTTCGTTGTCTCCATCTGAAGGAATAACAATAGGGTGTGTGATAGACTTATCTCCACTTGGTGCACCCTGGGCAACGTATACTCATACGGCAAAAGTCTATTAACTGACAGTTGACTTCTGACTTCAAACTATCATCACCCCACTGTATGCTATATTCGACTACTTCCACAGTATTCACCTCACCTTTTTTCTAACTTTGCGTCTGTCTCTTATACACCTTTGAAGCACTCTTCTGCCCCCCCCCCTCTCGACTTTTTTCACTTTGTTGTTCCTTCGCCTCTGTGAAGCCTGAAGTCAACAAAAGGACTAATCAAAACTATCAAAACGCCTGTCATTTGATATAAATAAGGAATAACAGGAAGTCAAATTAATCATGTAAGGTGATCGAAGGTTGAGCGATGAAAAATTTACTTTACTCTCCTGGAAATTCTCCCTAGTTTCACTTATCTACTTTTGGCTGTAAGAAATTAAGTATAAATTACGGTGGAGCCATAGCAACTGTTTGACAAGATCTAGATAGATTAGAAAGCGAAGTATCGGAATACTTACCGAAAATGGATAATACGGTGGCCGTATTATCCAGGATGACCTTTGACCTTCTGACTTCACCCTCTTTAACACCTTATTGGTCTATTCTTCTTATTAAAATGTGTCTCAGCAATAAGATATTGACAACTATTGTTGAAACAAAAACGCACTTAACTTCTAATTCCCATTGAACACACTAAAGCAATGTACTTTTATCATATCTCTAAATTTATTATTTCCATTTGCGTTTATGAAAAGTAATCAAGGTGAATAAAAAATGCATTCTCGTAAAATCTTCCACTAACTTTGATATTTCAATAAATAAGAAGGTAGCAAATATGATATACATGGTGTTTTGGCAAGCCTTAGCAATAGTAATTACCTCTATTTTTTATGCGCCCGACAAAATATGTTTTTTAATCAGCAATATTTCTTATTTTCCCTAATTTATTAATTATTCACTTCAACTAGAATTATTTGAGATATTTGACCCTGAATACATTTTCCATAACCCCTTCAGTTTACAAGTTAATTTGATTATCATTTTGAACCTCCCTAATACGTAGCTTATTTTGATTCCTGAAGAAATTATAGAAACTAGTTGATTAAAACTCAAATGGTCGTTATCTGGTTTGAAAAATTACTTAGTAATCTTATTTTTTCCTCAATTTATTTCGCCTGGCTTTATATATGCTAAAGAGTTTAATACCTTCCAAACCTGATGGAATGGAATTATATTTCCTCCATAGGGTGCGTGATAGACTTACCTCCACGTGGTGCACCCTGGGCAACGTATACTCATTCGGCAAAAAAGTCTATTAATCGGCAGTTGACTTCTGACTTCAAACTACCATGACCCCTCTGTGGGTCATATTCGACCACTTCACAGTACTCACCTTACCTTTTCCTACCTTTGTGTCTGTCTCTTTTACATATTTGAAACACTCTTCTGTTCAATCCCCCTCTTGACTTCTTTTCACTTTGATGTTCCTTCCCCTCTGCGAAGTCTGAAGTCAACTAAGGGGCTTATGATAACTATCCAAATATCTGCCATTTGATA